CACAACACATTGTTCACTTGCTGAATATACGAGGAATTCATTCACTGTAAGACCAAATGATAGCGCAATTCCAATATAACCTGCCAACAGAAATTGATAAGCCTACAATATACTTGTGTTCTACAAAGCTTAAGGGTACTCTAGTGCATAGACAGAACACATTCTGTGAATTAAACCCATGCTCTTGAACTCTTAAATATTGATACAAACCAGACCCCGCATATCCCTGATGAAGCAAAGTTGTAAACAGAGCTGAGGTGGCAATAACAATTGCACTTAAGGTTTCCAGGCGTTGGATCAACCACTCTTTTGCTGTAAAGCTGTGGAAGGATGAAGTAGAATTTTTATCGATAAGGTCAAGGTTCTTGGCAAAGAATCGCTCCTCATCCTCAAAAGCTCTTATTGTCACAGCTCCTGCAATAGATTCAGCTAGATGGCTTGCAAGCAAAGAATTTCTAGTGCCATTGATTCGTATCAACTCCTTCGCCACAGCAAAGTAGTAATTCTATTTACCAAAGAATACAAGTTTCACAAGAATTATTTTGTTTGGAAAAATAATCCCAAAAAGTAGTAATGATTCTGTTTTGGTGGCAGCAGTACCTGCAAGAGAATTATCAGATATACCACGGGTATAACAACTATCAAGACTTGCCAGGAAAGAGCACACAACACTATAAAGGTGGAGATAGCAGTCATGGCTGATCCCACTGCCAAAGGAACTTTGAAACCTAGATCGAGGTCGACAATACTCAAATCCGAAGATACCTGATGAAAAGAATATAAATTTGAGTTTCCAAAAACATAATTTGTGCAAGATTGCTTCTAAATTCATAACTCTTACCCGACTGAGTATCCTTCCCACAGGTGTTGAGTCATAGAAGGCCATTGGCGCTCGGAAAAGAGAGGTCAGCAGTTTGTCGAAAATGGATTCTGATGCCTCAAGACTTAAATAAGCTACAAGGTAGGATCTTATGAGCAAAAAGATTATCATTACTACTCCAATCCCCGAGTATACAATGACCAGTTTCAAAGTTTTAGTGCTTCCTTCTTTGATGTATGCAGCTAACCACCAGCTTTGCAGTATCTGTGCTACCAAAAACATAAGGTGCGCTAAATTTGACAAAAAGAAGTACAAGAGGCCTTTATTGTGACTAAAGTAGTCTCTGTAAGGTTTAAGACCTATATCTCCTGTTTCTCTTTCTTCTTCCTTTATTAACTGATCCCCTACAGCTGCATTCGACTGTTCCTCGTAATTTATGTTCTTGATTTCTCCATCATAATGTTTATTATGTTTGGAAGGAGCAAGTTCCAGAAGAGTTTCTTCACCCATTGTATCTTTGTGTGCATTTACAAGGTTCTGGAATTCTTTACTAGTGGCTAACAACTGGTCATATTTAGCAGCATGTGTGATTTCCCCTTCATATAGTAACTGCAAACGAAGAATATTGAACATATTAATTTAGCTTCTAATTTTAAAGTCAGATTGACATTATATCTTTGAATCTCCCGTTTTCTAAAAACTGGCAAGGGAAATGAAACCCCAAAGATTGTTTATTGATCTACATTAACTGACCAAGACAGAATCAAATGCAGGAAGGAAATCAACTTGGTGGGTCACGAGCAACACAGTTTTCCCAGAAAGAGCTCCCATGACATATTCCTGTCAAAAATCTGTATAAGCTTTTACCTTGAAAAGAAACGAACAGCAGAAGTTTCATTGAATAATACTTGCGTTTTAACTTACAGTAAATACATTTTTTGCCGTTTGTGCATCAAGCGCACTGAATGGATCATCCAAAAGATAGATATCTCTATCTTGATACAATGCACGGGCAAGTTGAATACGCTGCTTCTGCCCACCACTCAAATTAACACCTCTTTCTCCTATTTGAGTAAGATCACCAAATGGAAGCATCTCGAGGTCCTTTACTAGTGAACACTTTTCAAGCACTTGATGATACCTGCAATGATCCATGGCGGTTCCGAAAAGGACATTTTCTTGTATGGTACCTGTCTGAATCCATGCTGTTTGAGATACATATGCTACCGTTCCATAAACTTTAATCTGAACAACAGAAAGAAGGAAAAACAAGAAACTTAGCCAGGCGCTCTCAAAGCACTTCATAGACCTGAACAGACTGGAGTCTAGGAATGAATTTGAAAGTTCTAATAATTTCAAAACACTATATAGTTTTAAGGCAGCAGAATGGAACCAAAATCAGCATTTCTCAAAAAGTGGATTGCATTAAATATACCATCTATATTAACATTCCTGGAGTAAAAGGCAGTGATAAGATTGATAAAACTTACATAGCCTTCTATGCTGGGAAGCTCTCCAAGAATTGCGGCCAGAAGGGTTGATTTTCCTGCACCAACTTCTCCACAAATTGCAACCTTTTCACCAGGTTTAATCTCCAAATTTATATTTCTCAGAGTTGGCTTCAAAAGATCAGATGCCCATGATAGATCAGCAGAATTTATTAAAACTGAGGGCTTGAGTTCTGTTTCATTGATAATCTGTCGAATATTTGAATTCTTCAGCTCTGGCGCCTCAAGAAAATTGGCAATTCGATCTACTGAAACCTTTGCCTCAATAAACACTCCCAAAACATCAGGAAGTGATCTGATAGGTCCCTGAATGATTCGTAGGATCGCTAGGAAGGTGAAAACATTACTAGAATTAAGAGAAATCCCCAGGAAGTAGCAAGTGACTAAGGTCGCCGCCCCTATTAATACTGATGCCGACCAGAACAACACTAGGTAGTACCCCTTTTGAAGCTGCAGTGCTGTGAGCCAATTATATTCCTCGCTTCTTAGCCTCTCTATAACATTCCTGAAGTAGGACTCCCAGGCATACAACTTCAACACCTTCATGTTCACTAAGGCCTCTGTAATGACCTTCAACCTTTGATTTTGTGCAATCATGAAGTTTGCCTGATACTTATGTTGAAGTTTGCCGATTGGAGAATTTCCAAATACCGTCAATGTTAAGACAATTATAGTTGCGATAGTTGCCAATCCCACACAGTAATAGACAATTACTAATGAAATGCAGAGTTGAAGAATTGTTGACCATATCTGATGAAACCAGTATGGAAATTCACCTACTCTATATGCATCTACTGTAACATAGTTCACTATATCACCTGAAGTGTGCTCTACTTTAGCAGCATTCGAAAGTCTTAGCTGCTTGCTATAAATAGCTGCACAAAGGGAAGACCTGACTTGGAGTCCAATCAATCTACTTTGAAAGTACCAGTGTCTTCCCGCCAGTGATTCTATGCATTTCACCAAGAAGAGTCCTAAGGCCAGTGCATAGACCTCATACCTGAAAATTGTTTCCCCTTCAGCAACAGAAATGAAAGCTTTGAGAAACAATGGGCCAGAGGATATGGTAATCACCTTGATCAATGCAAGGAACCCGGAGGATAAAATAGATTTCCAGTGGCAGGAAATTATACTCCTTATAATAGAAGGATGTTCAGATGATCTATTATTCTTCCGGTTATTCAATTCCCCTATGAGTAAGGAGTAGCAAGTTTTAGCTCGATCAGCCAAACACAATTGTGGCACATCTTTCTCCTCAAGGATTTTTTTCTTCCTCTTCAAAATTAAGGGGTTTAACCACCAAAATGTCATCTTGCTAAGCAGTCCAGCAGAAGCAAACGGTGTCACAAGGCCTTCCTCATTGTCATCTTCATTGGCACATTCACCACTAGTGTTGATGTCTTCATCTCGCAAAGGTGCATATAAAGTATGATTGTTCACATCCTGATTGTAGTTTGTATATTTGGGCCCCCAGAAGGCACAGAAAAGCAACAAGATTGCTCCTGGAAAAGATAGAATGTCCAAAACCATCTTAACTGATGTTGTTTCTTGCCGGATAGCTTCCCAAACAGATGTAATGCAGAGAAACATGGATAATAGGAAGGCAAGAATTGAACCAAGCTTCATTATGATGGTATGTCGAAGTTGTTGCAGCTTGAAGCTAACAGTAAAACTCAGCAACATCCATGTAAAGCCTTGAAATAAAACCACTAGCCACTCGTATAGAGGTAACACTGTCTTCTTTGCACCAATTTTCTCTCCAAGAATCCATAAACCCAGTCCCAACTGGACCAACCCCAGTACAACGTTGTAAATGGCTGAGGTTATTTGCACTGGAAGTAATCCATGAGAATTTAGAGAATTCTCAATCCTTTTGGAGAATAATCCAAGCATGAAGAAGATTAATATCATTAGTAAAACAAGGATATCAACAGAAATAATTGAGACATTTTTGAAACATGCAAATGACACATGAACTGAATTGAATCTTCTTTCTTCTGCATGACTGCAAGTTCCACAAAACACAGATAATAAAACCTCCAACATGTTTATGATCCCTTTCAAAATATCAAACCCCCATATTGATGGCAAGCAACATCTAAGAATTTCTGAAAATGAATCAGAGTTGCATTGATATAACATACAAGAGATAATCATATGGAACGAGTTGAAGTCAACATATAACTGCAAAAGAAATAAACTAGCCCACCTTCAAACCAGATATGTCTGTCCTGTTCTATTAAAAACCATTTTATCTACATTTAAATATTAATATGACATCAATCCCATTATATTATGTATCTATTTTATTTTAATTTAGAAATATTCTACTTTATTTAAAGTCTTCTACAGATCATGTTTGAATTACTAAAAGAAATAACAAATGTGTATTTAAATAAATATTAGTTGCATATCTACAAATTTTCTTTAAAAAATGCTTACAAGATTTTAAATAAGCTAATTTTATATCTTAGAGGAGAATTTTAATAAACTCTTTTTTAAATTTAAAATGTAATAATTTCAAAAATATTCTTATTTTATTTTGTAACTTTGAATTGATCTATTATCGGATATTAAAACCTTTTTTTGGTAAATGATATTATAAAACTCTTTTATATTTTTCTAACTAAACAATTAATAAATTTTTTACTAAAACTCTACTCTTATAAGTTTTATTCTAATAAACACTTTTTCNTTGAAAAAAATTCTTCTGCTATTCCAACCAGGAGGAGTGGTTTTCTTCCTGCTTTATCCATTAATAGGACTCCAACAACTGTTGCTGGAATCTGCCAAAATATATGTATACAAAAATAAGAAATACAATTAGGAGAATCTGGATTTGATTATAACTAAGAGTCTAGTGACTACCGCTGCAATAGCCACCAATGTACTTCCAAGGCTAGTGGAAACACCTATGGAAAAATCAGATATTTGAATTAAAAATCTCTTTTCCTGTACGTCATATTATCAGTAACCAAAACCTGAAGGATAATTACCAGCTTTTTCGAATATACTATCAGCATAATATGTCATACCACTAACTCCTGCTAATTGCTGTAGGAACACGAGGCCAACTCCAATCTAAAAATTTTTAATTCCATGGAAATATTAGGAAAATCATGAAAATGATAGGTGACAGATGTAGATATATTTGATAGGCTCACAATGAGAAAATTTATGTATCTCCTCTGGAACAGCTCCAAAGATCTAGTTCCTGAGCCCTGGTGAAAGTTTTCCAAATTTTCCTACAAACCAATGAAAATTCCTGTAATTACCTCAAGTTGAAGTTGAATTCTACATTAGAAAGATAAAAAGTGGAAAATATACTCTAATATCAGCTGCTTCTTGAGAAATATCAGCAATCTCTCCCCTGAGGCGCTGCAATGCTGTTTCAAACTCCTTTTCTCTACCAACTTTTGCCTGCAAATAATATATATGCACTTGTCCTTTGTACTTAGAACTCCTATATCAAACTGCTTTCCCAACATTAAAGCTGAATTGAACTCACCAGCCATCTAGGAGACTCAGGAATGAAAAATAAAGTTACAATTTGCAACAGGCATGGAGTAGCACCTGGAGAAAAATGAGAACAAAGTATCTTTGACTGAAGTTTTAGATTAAAGTAACACAATACAGCAGGGAAATTTATTACCAACTAGAGCCAATGTGCGCCAAGAAATGTCATTTCCAATGAAGAATACAAGTGAAAAGCCGAATGTATTCATCAACTGGACACTTAAAAAAATTAGAACTCTGCATGTATCCAACAAATAACCTATTGATTGAATTGTTTCTACTATTGTTTTTGTTACCTGAGTGAATGCAGTAAATACTCCTCGAAGATCTCTGGGTGTTATTTCTGCAATATATACAGGTACCTGTTTTGGAAAAAAGAATGCAATTGTCATTCGGTGACACAACTAAATGATCAAATATGAAATGAAAAGCATTAATTTGTTAACTTGCCACATAAGAAATAAGTCCAACGCCAAAACCTATAGAAAGTCTTCCCAAATCCAGCCACAGAACATCCTTGCAATAGAACAAGAATTATAGATCAATTTCATAATCATCTTACTGATACACTAGTGTAGAAAAATGGTTATGAAAAAGGACAGAAGGGAAAAAGGAATTAAACCTTGGCGAACACTATAGCTAACCAGCCAAGGGTACAAAATATTTCAGAGAACAGCATAGCCTGCTTAATAAGATCAACAAGTTACATAATGGAGAAGAATGGTTTAAGTTTATGGATAAGAGAAACTTAAATAATACTTACAAGTTTCCTGCCTAATATATCAGCTATCCTGCCACTTAATATGGCACCAAGCATTCCTCCAACAGTCATTATTGAACCAAAAACTGAATACTGCACAATTAATCATTAAGGTAAGCATGAAAATAAACAAGGGAATAATCCAATCCAATGCAGAAAAATTTATAAGTTGATACAATGTTAAAATTGACCAGGATAAACAAGATGATATATATGTAGCATTGCCTTAAATTTGAAGAAGCAATAATGTTTATGCTTGTTAATTTTGAAAGGAAACAAAGGCAATAATGGAGAAGCTGAAACAATTAGTACTAACAGCCGCAACAGACAGGCCCAGTTCTTCCATGATGCCAGACTCAGCAGGCGATGAGTAACCCACCTGCAAAACAATCGGAAAAGAGTCAAAAGACCATTGATTTTAGTCAAAGTTATGCTATGCTTTCATAACTTGGATAGAGATAGTCTATTTACCACCCGATGAAATAATGCACATATGAGGCTTATTGATGAGTGGCCCAAAATATTGGGTTGGACTAAACCCCTAAAGATCCACTGTTCGAATTACCCAAACCTGTCCAATTAATACTTGAACAACATTTTGGACTTGGGAGGAATTAGAATGGGCTCATACGAAGTCCTCCTCTTCTGTAAAGTCAATTGATGTGAACCTTCTCATGTTTTAAATTCAATCCTACTGGCTTACTTTTTGTGGATCATGACGCCGAAAACTCTGCTGCAAGGAAAAATAGGCTCGGTAATCTAATGGAATACTTCCATGCTCATAAGGTCACCTATTTTTACAAGAGTCTGAAACTAAATAAATTACCAGCTACTATATACTGTGAGCGTGTGTGCGAGGTCTTTTATACCCATCATGAATTTTCATGTTTGTTCTGACCACGCATGTTTGAAGAACATAAACTAACATTTACGTTCCTAAGTAGTAAGTCCTGTATATACTTACAGCAAATCCATAGCAGGAGTAGCCACACACAGCTACCAAGGTGCTAAACACAAGCATCCCGGTGACAGATGAACTGCTCGGTGGCGGCAGGGACAGCGACTGTGTGTTGCTGCAATCGATCCCGGTGCCATTACGCTTTGATTCAAGCAAAGTTGCTTGCAGTCCTTCTTCCAGGTTTTGTCTCTCCATTTCTTAGCTCTTGCTTTCTTCATGAAAGACAAGGAACAAAAACAAATTATTAAGATGAATGTATGTAATCACATGCAATAAACATCCCAAATAGGATACAACCTCCAAGAGTGCACCCAGTTAAGAGAGAAACTACAACTGAGTATCTGAGGTACTGAAAATGATGAACAAACAAATATTTATAACCTTTCAAAGAAGAAACAAATCCAGTTCATGTCATTAGACTTTTTAATTTTTCGGATAAGGTTCTTTTTCAAACTTTGCGTAAGCCATTTGAATAACATACTCATTAGGTTTCGTACTTCTCCAATCAAAGAAGCTATTCGATCTTTGCGTAGAATCTTGGTAAAGAAATTAAGTGAAAAAGAGTTGACTAACTCTTTAAGGCTACCGACTCTTTGCTCGATCCCCAGACATTAGAGATATAAGAAAGTTGTGTTTAACCGCTTTGATTTTAAGACCTCAACTACCTAACTAACACTCAAAAAAAAAAAAAAAAATATATATATATATATATATATTATTTGACAAGCAAGATGCCTTGCAATAGACTATTTTAATTTTTATAACATTCATCATGTAAAGATTTTGTTTCAAGATCTACGTTGTTGCATGTTGTCAAAAAGTCCTAGGTTCGTATTCCCCGTGCTCCTAGGATTTAAATAGGTGATCGTAGTCAAGGACGCAACACACTATAACATATCGGTTTAGTTGAATCTATTAAAACTTCAAAAAAAAAAAAAAAAAACTTTTTAAATTTTATAGTATTTACAATTTTGATCTCATTTAAATTCATATTAAACTCACTCAAACTATGAAAAAAATTAGAAAAGACTTTATATTTTATAATATTTACAATTTTAACCTCATTTAAATTCATATTGATCCTACAAAATTGTATTGTAAATTTATTAACTTAAATATTTTGAACCCACTCATTAAAAATTCTAACTACATCCGTGATCATGGTGGTGGATTGTTGTATTAGTCACTTACACGAACTAATCGAGATGTATACAAGTTGGTCTAAATGCTCTGTTAAAAAAAGAAGAAAAAAAAAATTGTCAAAAAGTCATTTTTTATAACATTCGTCATGTAAAGATTTTGTTGCATGTTGTCAAAAAGTCAGTTTTCACAACATACGTATCTCATGACATGTTCCGGAATTCCCTACTATTTTGTCTCATTTTTTCTTGTAGTGATCACATTAATCCATATTATATATGCACCTAATATTTTACAAATCTATGAAGATATCATATAGTCAACATGATTGAAACATAAATTATTAATTAATGCAAAGACTATGTGACATATTTCCTATTTCAGAATATTCTTTACAAATTTTAAATATTCCTCATGGGTTATAATGTAAACCAAGCACCATGTTCTTTCTTTGTCTCATATAATCTCTAATTCTAGAAGAATTGACAAATATTTCCCCCAATATTAAACACTCGATTGAATTTTTTAGTCGAAATGAAAATTAATTTAAGCAACAAATGCAAAATTTGTTTGAAAGATTCGAACGAACCCATAATTTAACTTAAACTTTTGTTTCTAAGACAGTTGACTAAACATGACAAGATGAATAAATTATATAATCTTAAAGAAAGTATATTAAACAAGACATTTTCTTGACTGATAACTGCTAAAAGGAATCCCAAGGAATACCGAGTAGTGTCATAATGTCTGAGGTATGTTACTATATTTAGTATGGATGAGCATGGGTAAAGGGTATAGTCGAAACCAACGGGTACCCACTCGTCGATTCCAGATAGGAACCGGAATCGATCCCATTAGGGTCTGATTTTGGTTCTAGAAAATTGGAATCGAGAATTTTTTGGTTCGGTTCTTATAATGCTGGAACCGAGATTCTAAACCGAAATCAGAACTAAGATCTGGGTACTTGGGTAGAAACTGAGACTAAATTATAATTTTTAAATTATCAAGGGTGTCCTTGTAATTTTTGGAGGTATATTTGTTAGTTTTAAAAAGTAGGGGGTAATAAATGATCAGGAACCACAATTGGAACTTTTGTTCCAGACAATGTTTTAAAATCTGGTCCAAACCTTGACCCGGTCAAAGGCCTAGTCCCATCCAACCGGTTTGACCGGCGGGTTGAACTAGTGATGTCATTGTATCAGAATGACAAAAAAACTTTTATATATTTGTGGGTGTACCATCATAAACCAAGGGTAATAAAATAAAATAAAATAAAATAAAAAAGATGTTTTCAAAGAAATAAACCGAAAGTAAGAATTAAAAAAAGAGTGATGTTGTTTTCAAAAAAAAAAACGTAATTGATCAAAAATTCATAAATGGCGGTGATACGACATGTCTTGACAGTCTTGTAGTGAAGGTATGAAGATAAGGCTTTTTAATATGGAACACCTTTTGTTAAAATAGTTAAAGAGAATTTTTTTTTTTTTTTTTTTTTTTTTTTTTTTAAGGGTGGATGTGTTTGTTTTATTATTTATATTCTATCATATTTAAAATATAAGTTTATTTTGAGTCTATTTGTTTCTTTATTTTCTATTCTATTCTTAATTTTATTTTCAAAATAACTGTTTTTTTATTATTTAAGAAATATTATTATATTATATTTAATTATTTTTTGACCTTTTAAATTTATTAATTTAATTAAATATTCTAAAAAAAATTTAAAAATTAACAAAAACATATTTACTCACATATAGTTGCTAGATTTTGATAATCATTATTAATGGTGATCGAAATCTATCATAATAGCATAAAAATGATTAGAATTGATCGGTAATTAACCGATCTGATTGTCAACAATAACCATATTTTTTATCGTTAAACTTTTACGATCATCGACAACTAGATCTGATAATAGATTTAATCTTCTTCTACTAGATTTCTGATAGATATGACATGTCCTATATTAAAAAAATAATAATAATAATAAACCGAAAGTAAGAAATCAAAATCAAAAAGAGAATGATTGTTTTCAAAATAAAGTAATTGATCAGAAAATTCATAAATGACGGTGATACGAGATGTCTTGTACTGAAGATATGAAGATAAGGTTATTTAATATGGAACACCTTTTGTTAAAATAGTAAAAGAGAAGTCATATGTTTTTTTTAATCGAAAGTCAAAATAATCGGCTGCATGTTTGGCTTAATATTTTTATCCATATTCTGGATGTTGGCACATTATTTCAGAAATATTATCTTATTTTTTTAATTATATTTAAACCCCATAAGGTTATTAATTTCACTAAATACCCCCTAAAAAAGTTTAAAAATTAACAAAAACACCCCTATCAACCCAACTTGTCAGATTTCGACAACCATCATCGGTGATAGTCAGAATCTATACAACGGCCTAACTTCTGACCATAAATGGTCAGAAGTTCACCGATGTGGCCTTTTTCGGTCAGATCCACCATGGATCTGGCCGTCAGCGACGGCCAAAGAAATGGCCGTCGTTGACCGAAAACGACGGCCACATCTTTGGCCATCGCTGACGGCCAAAGATGGCCGACTTTTGGCCTTTTTCGGCCGTCGACGGCCATAACAGACCGTAGATTTGGCCTTTTCCGGCCAGATCCACCATGAATCTGGCCGGAAAAGGCCATAACGACATGTTACGGCACAGATCCGACCGGTCTGTGCTGTAACGAAATTTTCCGGCCAGATTCCAACGGTGGTGGCCGGAATCTGACACTGCAGGTGGTGGGGGTGTTTTTATCATTTTATATGTTAGGGTCTTTAGTTAAATTAGTAAACCTAAGGGCTTTTTCACAAATTTTTAAAATTTACCTCGTAATACTCCCCTATCCAATAACCCAATACTATCCCCAAAATCCTATCCAAAATACTAAACCAAACGCACCCCGGAATGTTTTTATTTTATTATTTCAATCCTATCTTATTCAAAATATATAGGTTTATTTTACTATTTTTAAAATTTAATTATATTCTATTTAATTCAAAATATTTAAATTTTTTTAATTCTATAAATTTATTAATTTAACTAAACATCCTCAACAATAAAAATTTATAAATTAACAAAAACATTTACACCCTCTCACATATTCTTGGCAGCCAGCATTTAATTAGTGAGTAAGGGTGTTTTTATTAATTTTAAAATTTTTATTGTAGAAAGTGTTTAATTAAATTAACAAATATAAAGGATTAAAAAATAATCATACCAAACACATTTTCAAATTCAAAATAATAATAATCCAACTCAACTTTTTCAAAAATACTACTCAAAATAATAAAACAAATACACCCACGATTATTTCACTTTCGATTAAAAAATGATTTCTAGTAAAATTTTCAATTAGCTTCAAGCAAGTATGTAAGGTCTATTTACTTGGCTGACAGAATTTTAAAGCTTTATTCTATTTCTTCAATTATTGTATGCTTGGAAGTTTATAGAGACAAACGAGATTTTGATTGAAATTTTAATTGGATTTTGATGAAGAAGAAGAAGGTGAGATATGGCTCTGCTACTAGATTGAAGATCTATCGATTCTATTTACCCCAAAACCGGTTGGACCGATGATCAGCTACAGTGACCCCAATCCAACCGTGGGTCATAGAGGGTGAATGCATATTCCCAATTTTTATACCGACTCGGCGGCCAAGTCCCAGTCGAACTGCTTAAACCGGTCGGGCCGAGCCGGGTTTAAAAATATTAGTTTCAGGTTTTGAGGAACTAGAACTGGCCAGTTCTGATTCCTTTCAAAAATACAGGGTGCTCAGAACCGATCACTCCTAATATTCAGCACACTCCACATCTTTTCACAAATTTATTCACAGGAACTGATTAATAAGTCATTGAGCTGCATTCCAGATATTTCCTATAAACATCAAGGGTTCAGCAGGAAGCCTTGTGACATTATTTCCCTGGTTCTGCGCTTTTCTTTCTACTCATACTTTCAATTTATGATGCAATGGAATACATCTGGTAAAGAAGCAAGGGTGAAACCATTATACAGAAACACTCTTGTAGATGTTCTTGAAAGATTTTGATTATTGTCGACATAAATGGAATGTAACATTGCGACAACAACTGTAGCCTAATAAGATGTTAGGATTTCTTCGGCTGATGGAAAATCAAATATAATTATCATGGATAATGCTGTTTGTACAAACTCTTTATACAAACTGACGTGACACACCGTGTGAGTGTCACGTGACATGAGGTTCACATAACATTAATGTGAAATTAAGTTACGTGAGTTCTAATACCACATGGCATGCTTTGTGATGTGTCACGTCAATTTATATAAACTTTTTTTGTACAAAAAGTTTGTATAAATAGCATTACCTAATTATCATTAATGTTTCAAAAATAGAAATGTATAATCACAATGGGATGTGATGTTGAAACTTAAGCCCAAGGGAGAGCCCAACCCAAAAGACCGGCTTGATGGGTGGAAGAGTCTCTAGGTTTAAGTATCATACTTGGTAGTATGAGATCTCGATGTGGGATCCTAAGATTGCACCCTCCAGACCACCCCCACCCCCCCCGAGGGCTTTCACTCTATCAACATTGACCCAACGATAGACCTTTCCCCGTTTGGACAGCTTCACTCACCTATCAGTTACACACTGTACATTAATCTAGCCTATAAGTAACTATTTCCGCAATCCAACTCTCAATGAAAAACATCAGTATTAGAAATTAAGCCCAAGGGAGAGCGTAACCCAAAAGACTAGCCTGATGGGTAGAAGAGCCTCTAGGCTTAACTATCACACTTGATGGGTGTGAGATTTTGACGTGGGCTCCTAACATGTGATCATACACAAAAGACAATACAATTTTGCACTTATAAAGATTTGGCATTTATCTTATGACAAAAAAGAAGTACTAATTGTTGACTGTATTTCTTCTAGCGTCCGTCCTTTAGTCTCCGGAACCATCTTTGCTATGAATATAACAGTTGTCAAGTTGACTCCTGAGAAAATGAAAAATGTTCCTGCAGCAGTGTGGCAATTTCTGAGTGATTATTTCTAACTAATGTGTGTGTCTGAGGCTTTTGCGAAAGAGAGAGGGAGAGAGGATAACCTGCAGAGCTCCATTCCATCATGAAGTTGAAAGTGTAAGTCATAACCCAAGAGCATGACCAGTAGACTAAGGTCACTAGGCTTCCAGCTGCGGCTTTCACATTCATAGGAAATATCTGAAATGGAATACATCCATGAATATATGCTATAAACATTATTTAATTTAAATTCCTGTGAATAAATTTGAAAAGGTTATTTACCTCAGACATTACAACCCAGGGTATTCCTGCCATGCCCACAGCGTCAGCTACAACAACACCCTGTTGTAGTAGTGATTAGTTGACACAAAATCTGTTAATATATTACTTGTAGCAACCTATAACATTTATAAAAAAGCAGCAAGAATTACTGGATTTTTATTTTTTTGTTGGATTACCACTAAGCTTATAAGCACCAAAATAGGAGTGAGCTCCTCCATGTGGGGAATTTCCTGTCCACCAAAATACTCTGCTTTTTTAGCGGAAATAAAAAACAAGATGGTTTATGGAAATAACAAGCAAAATCAATAGTCAAGAGTAAAGTAGAATGAATTTTTAATAGGATTTTGTTAACCTGGAAACAGAATGCCAATCCCATAACGAAGAAACAGATGCACAATCCAGCAACTGAAAACTGCAAATATTTGGTAAACATTGCTTATTGAATTGTTGGTGAACAACATTAAATTTTTTAAACAAATTTCACTGCCATTCTAACCAGGAGGAGTGGTCTTCTTCCTGCTTTATCCATTAATAGAGCTCCAACAGCCGATGCTGGAATCTGCCGACAATATGTACTCATAATAAGAAATACAATAAGGAGAATCCAAATTTGAGATGAGAATTAAAGAGTCTAGTTACTACCACTGTGATAGCTACTACTGTACTTCCAAGGCTAGTGGAAATACCTATGGAAAAATCAGATATTTGAATTAGTAATCTCTTTTCCTGTTCATTATATTATCTGTATGATTGATATGACCAAATCCTGTCGGATAATTACCGGCTTTTTCGAATATACTAGCAGCATAATATGTCATGCCACTAACTCCTGCTAGTTGTTGCAGGAACATAAGGCCAACTCCAATCTAATGAGTTTTAATTCCATTGATATATCAGGAAAATCATGAAACTGAAAGGTGACAGAATGAGTCATATTTGGGACGCTCACAATGAGTGAATTTGCGTATCTCCTCTGGAACAGCTCCAAAAATCTAGTTCCCGAGCCCTGGTGAAAGTTTTCCAAATTATCCTACAAAACAATTAAAAGTACTTGTAATTCCCTCAAGGTGAAATTGAAGTCTCCATTAAAAACATAAGCGGTAATTGGTAAGCATACTCTAATATCAGCTGCTTCTTGAGAAATATCAGAAATTTCTCCCCTGAAGCGCTGCAGAACCGTTTCAAACTCCTTTTCTCTTCCAACTTTAACCTGCCAAAAGAAATAGCATTTGTCCTTTCTACTTAGAACTCCATTATCGTCTTACGTATACTACAGAAAGATCAAACTGCTTTCCCTACAATATGTTGAATTGAACTCACCAGCCATCTGGGAGACTCAGGAATGAAAAATAAAGTTACAATTTGCAACAGACATGGAATAACACCTGGAGAAAAATGAGCAAAAAGTGTCACTTTTGACTGAAGTTTTAGATTAAAGTAATACAATACAGCAGGGAATTTTATTACCAACTAGAGCCAATGTGCGCCAAGAAATGTAATTTCCAACTAAGTATACGAGTGAAAAGCCGCATGTCCTCATCAACTGTAGACTTAAGAAATTAGATGTCTGCAGTATGCACTCAACAAACAACCTATTGACTGAATTTTTTGTATTACATGACTGAATGAAGTAAATATTCCCCGGAGATCTTTAGTTGTTATTTCTGCAATATATACAGGTACCTGTTTTGGAATAAAGAATGCAATTATCATTCTGTGCCACAACTAAATGATCAAATATGAAATAAAAAACATTAATCTGTTAACTTGCCACATAAGAAATAAGTCCAATTCCAAACCCTATAGAAAGTCTTCCCAAATCCAGCCACAGAACATCCTTGCCAATGGTAGAATTAAATATCAATTCCATAATCATCTTACTGATACACTAATGTAGAAATAAGATTACATAAAGCATTTGGTGAATGAAGTGTAGTTATGAAAAGGGACAGAAGGGAAAAAAGAATTAAACCTTCCCGAAAGCGATAGCAAACCAACCACAGGTACATAATATATCAGACAACAACATGGCCTGCTTAATGAGATGAACAAGTTACATAATGGAGAAGAATGGTTGAAGTTTACAGATCAGGGAAACTTAAATAAGACTTACAACTCTCCTGCCAAGTATATCAGCTATCCTGCCACTTAATATGGCACCAATCATTCCTCCAACAGTCATTATTGAGCCAAAAACTGAATACTGCACAATTCATGATCAGGGTAAGCATGAAAGCAAACTAGGGAATTAATGCAGTCCAATGCAGAAGAATTTATGAGTTATATGATTTTGAAATTGACAAGGAGACACAAGATGACATATGTAGCATAGCATTGTATTTGAAGAAACAGAAATGTTTATGCATGTTAAATGAAAATATTCCAATACATTCGGCTTCCACACAGGATCTATAGTTTTAAGCTAATGCGTTAAAGCAAGTGATATCTTGCTAGAAACATGAGAATGCAATGTGAAGGCTTACCCGAGCTGAAGCTTGCAATCAAGTGTACAAGCTAAGATGGATGCGAGCTGAAGATAAATGTGATCGGTAACGATCTAAAGAGCATGTGACCTAAAGGGCATGTGATCTGGAAGAAGCAATCAGGAAGTAATGTGACCTAGAAGCAATACAAGATGGAATCCATGCAACCAAATGTGTATGCAATCAGATGCATTAAGTGACCTTAAAAAAGGTTGATGATTCAAAGCCGATCTAGAAGGTGTCAAAGTTGGTCAACCACCCAGAGTGGTTTAGCTGACTTTTAGGGATGTTAAGTCTGACAGATTTTGTAGTAATTAGAATGTATGGCTTTGTGATAATATCTTGTAAATATCTCTACAGATTAGGTTAGCATTTAATGTTCTGCAAGAGTTAGTATTAATGATGTATATGATGATGTAATCAGCTTGTATATACACTTTGTTTATGTTAATGAAAATGTAGACAAGTCAAATGAGACCAAAAACATTCTCTTAAAAACACTTGTCTATGAGAAAAACTAAAACTTGCGTTCTTTTCCTTTGTATTCTGTAGCTTGTAAACAGCATAATGTCGAATATATTCTTTAAACTATATGAGGATAACTTTAATATTATTGTATATAAAATGGTTTGATTTACTATGAATAATGAAAGGAAACAAAGGTAATTATGGAGAAATGGAAACAATTAGTACTAACAGCTGCAACTGTCAGGCCCAGGTCTTCCATGATGCCAGGCTCAGCAGGTGATGAGTAACCCAGCTGCAAAACAATGACAACCCATTAGTTCCAGTCAAAGTCAGCTGATTGTGTGGCTATGCTCTCATATATTGGATAGTTTCATATTGACTGGCTAAAGAAATGATCCACATATCAGGCCTATTGATGACTGGACTAAACCTGTATAGATCCAATGATGAATGACACCATTACCTATACCAGTCCACATTCAGTCCAAATTTTGCTTGAACACAATTTTGGACTTGGGAGAAATTAGAATGGGCTTATACGAAGTCTTCTAAAGTCGATTAAAGATTGTTAACTTTTCTGGGAATTTTCATGTTTATTCTGACCTTGCATGTTCATGTAAGAACACAAAATGAACATTTATATTACTAAGTAGTAAGTCCTAGCTAGGCCGATATATATATAGAACTTGTTCTACTTACAGCAAATCCATAGCAGAAGAAGATACAAACAGCCACCAAGGTGCTAAACACAAGCACTGCCGTCACGGATGAACAGCTGCGTGGCGGGGGCGCCAACCGCGTGTTGCTAAAATCAATTCCGGTGCCATGTGGCTTTGATTCAAGCAAAGTTGCCTGCAGTCCTTCTTCCAGGTTTTGTCTCTCCATTTCTTACTTGCTGTCTCCTGTCTTCTTCATGAAAAAGAAAGAGAGAGAGATGAGTGCTATTCAATCTAGCTACGTAAACTTGAAACTACAAATTACTAGCTTTTTTGTAAACACTCAAATTCTTAGCAGTTATCCAAAACGTATGAGAACCTTTTTTTTTTAAGTTTATGGGGGACAAAGGGAATATATGTAAAAGTTCAAATATAAAATTATCAATAATTAAGTTATTAATTAAAAATCCCAAAGGGCTACAACCTCAGCAAGAGTATGCTCCCAGCTGTTAAGAGACAAACTACAACTGCGAATCTGATATAGAAAATGATGAACAAACAATTGTATATAATCTTTTTATCAATTTTTTTTTTTTTTTTAATTTCGGGTAAGGTTATTTGTCAAACTTTGAATAGAGCCATTCGAATAACATATTTCTTAGGTTTCGTATCAATTTTTTCTTATATTTCGGGTAAGGTTATTTGTCAAACTTTGAATAGAGCCATTTGAATAACATTTCGTACTTCTCCAATCAAAGAAGCTATTCCATCTTTGCTTACAATCTTGGATAAGAAATTAAGTGAATTAATTAGAAGAAGACTTGACTAATTAACCGATTTGATTTTGATACCTCACCTACCTATCATTAACACTCTAAACTGTTGAATCGTGGAAAAGTTTAAGATATAAAACCGGAATACCTACAAGAAGCTACATTTATGATTTAACCCCTAAAACCAAAAGAAGTCATATCAGGATTTTTGCGAAGGAGGAACTCTGCGGTTTTACCGTTATTTATCAAACAACTAGTAAAAACTTTAAAAATTATCAAACATTAAGCAAAAAAAATCAATACAATATCAAGAACATGAGAAAAAAAATGTAATAACACAATACTTTTCTACTTGAATAAATATATGAGAAGCAAAATTTTGAGTAAATGTATTGAGTAAACCTTGAGCAAAATTCTTTTAATTTTTTGCTTCCAAAGATTATAATATAAATTTTCATGACTTTGATCAGACTTAGTCTAAGCTAAAGTCAGTTAAAACTTAAATCAAGTCAACATTGTGTTGACTTTTAGTATGAATTAATAAAAATTAGGAATTTTCTTGGGATAAACATAAATAGTAACTCAAATTTCTTTAATAATTTTTAGCAACCAAACAGTGACGTTTGAAATATAGGAAAGTGATGGGTGAAGAATAACATCCTTTAAAATATAGTTAAGGTTTTAATTTGGAAAAGCATGTTTATTCTTATACACAAAACACAAAATAAACTCACAAGATCCATGTATTTTTCTATCAAATTAGAATAAAAAATCTCCAAAAAAACAAGCATGATTCAACCATATAATAAACTAATTTGAAATGAACAATACACATATCTAAAATTGATAAAACAGAAAACGGGGTTAATTGTGGCACATTGAGTAATGAAAGATTCAACAATTTCAGTCTTCAAAAGTTTTAAAAGCAAATAGCATGAGAAAGAGAAATAGAGAATGAAAAAGTAAAAAAATTTGGAGATAAAATCATAAAAAGCAAATAGAGCCGTGGAGAAGAAGAGTAGAGAGAGATTTAAAATTTTAATATAATGTAGGCTTGAAATATATATATTAAAAGCAAGTTTTTTATGGGCCTAGATATATGTATAATAATTTTCATTTTTTTAAAAATATGAGGATGGGTTTGGACATATATATTAATAACAATTTTTTATAAGCCTATATATTAATAATTTTTTTTTAAATCTGTGGGCCTACCTTTAAAGGGGCTGGATCCACCCGTGATTATATAGATGATCATTTGACAAGAAGCAAGAGATTCAATGCAGAAGAGTATTTGGCAAGCAAGATGCCTTGAAATAGACTATATTATATAATATTCATATGTACACATTGTGTAAAGATTTGTTTCACAACATACATAGTTTGCATGTTGTCAAAAGAGTAAATTGACTTTTTTTCCCACCCAGATAATGGCTTAATGACATTTCTTACCCACAGACTTTTAAAATATTATTTTATTATCTAAATTTATATTCCGTTTCTAATTCTAGCATTGTTGCAACCACATACCACCATCATTCTCTTCCCCAATCATCACTCACCAAAACTCCTCAAACCCTACTCCCGTCGACTCTGTCAATTGTCAAGATCGAGCAATTAGGATTTGCGCAACCACATCTCTCAAGTCAAATTCTAATCGATTATAACCATTAAAATCTAATTTTTTACCACTAAAAGACTCATGGACTTCTCCTCTTCAAAAACTCTAATAGTTTGAACCAAATTTGTTATTTATTTACTATTAGAATATAAATTTAGATATAGATAAAAAAAAATCATTAAGCCATTATCGTTAACCCTTATCAAAAAGTCATTTTCACAAAGCGTTGGGAAATTTCCCGACTATTTTGTTTAGAGTTTTCTTGTAGTGACATTAATCCTATCATATATACATTTCTTTTATCACCTTTAACTGTCAACTATCAATTATAACAAAGATAATACACCTAATATTTTGGGAATCTGTGAAGATATATACACCACGAGAAAATTAGTCAAATACTACCAAATTAGACACGAACGCAGAGGATATTGTCGCCCTACCCTTTATATCACGACTTACCCTGCAGCGTCCAATCCTGGATACGAGTGGCTTGGTTGCCGCAGTATGTGCCACTGTTTCATCGCCGATGTAATACATAATACAAGCCTTTGAATGACATCAACTTTGGATCATCGATTCTATGCATTCGGCTCAGAGTATGTAGCCTTTTTTTAAGCCTGCAGTACAAGTTGTCAAACGACGCGGCATAAGTGACGAAAATTATGTTGTGTAACATTATTCTGTTTCATCTCCAGATTTCCAGGTCTCCATAACTATCATACGACGTTCTCTCCGGCGTCGACGACTTTATTGCGGCAAACTTGTTTCATTGGTGTGTTGAATTTAATTTATTCCATAAAACTTGTAACAGAACTCTAATAAGAAAAATCTGATGCGTCGCTTCTGGAAATGCGATTCAAAATCAGATCTTAATTTTACTTGATCCCGATCAAATCCACAACTTGCATATACCCACTGGAAAAGTAAGTTAGAATGACTTAATTGCAATTGGTTTGGCTGATAAAAGCCCATCTTCTGGTCTCAGGCGGTTAACACTACCTATATTCTAGTTCTGTCTGGACGGGGTGATAGTTAATGTAGAGGTCTGGTTTTCTGAAAGAAAAGAGAAACAGAGCAACGAAAGTAATAAAGAATTACTCTGAAATTTCTTTCTCAAAAAGTTGATGTGAAAGGTGTACAGTAGCTTATTAATACAAGTGAAATAAAATAACCTTTACATTAGAAAACAGAAAAATGAATATACAATATTGGCCCCAAGCATATGTACAGCTCAACATGTCATGATCAAATCTGTTGAGAATTCTGTTGCGAATTTGTTGGCCATGTAATGGTGTTGCTCTCTTGGTTTTGCTCTTTTTGTGTGGCAGCTGACTCATCATTCTCTAATATCCCCCCGCAAGATGAAGAATAGATGTTTTCTATTCCCATCTTGGATAGAAGAAAGCCAAGTTGAGTGGAAGGAAGTGCCTTGGTGAAGACATCTGCAAGCTGAAGTGAAGAACGAACATGGGAAGTGCATAAAAAACCAGATTGAATTTTGTCGCGAATGAGATGACAATCGATCTCAATGTGTTTTGTGCGCTCGTGAAACACTGGATTTGCTGCGATATGTAAGGCAGCCTGATTATCGCAATACAGATCAGCTAAAAGTGAAACCGAGATGTGCAAGTCTTGTAAAATATAAGACAGCCATTGAAGTTCACAAGAAGTAGTTGCCATGGCTCGATACTCAGCTTCAGCGGAGGAGCGAGAGACCACGGTTTGCTTCTTTGAATGCCATGAGATCAATGAGGATCCAAGGAAGATGCAAAAACCCGTAATGGAGCGGCGAGAATTGGGGCAAGAGGCCCAATCCGAGTCAGTATAACCTCGAAGATGAAAAGAGGAGCTGGAGGGAAAAAGGAGTCCCTGACCAAGTGCATTCTTGATGTAGCGGAGAACTTGGTGAGATGCATGTTGATGTGAGGAAGTAGGAGCAGTCATAAATTGACTTAAAACATGGACAGCGTGGCTTATATCGGTGCGAGTAATTGTGAGATAAATTAATCGCCCAACCAAACGTCAATAAGGGAGAGGATCCGAGAGAGGCTGACCATCATCCATTCGAAGTTTCAAATCTTGTTCCATTGGCAACTTGAGTGGTCGAGTACCAAGAACACCAGCATCTGATAATATATCAAGAGCATACTTCCGTTGACAAATAGATATACCCTTGGAAGAAGAAGCTACTTCAATTCCAAGAAAGTAACGAAGATTACCAAGACATTTAATCCAAAAATGCTCACTGAGAAATGACTGAAGAGCAGCAATGGAGTCCATGCTTGAGCTGGCCACAATTATGTCGTCAACATAGACGAGAAGTGCTGTGAAAGAGCCATTGTGCAGCCAAGTAAAGAGGCTGTGGTCAGCCTTAGATTGTTGGAAGCCGAAAGTGCATAAGGCTTGAGAAAACTTTGAATGCCATTGTCGCGGAGCTTGTTTTAAACCATAGAGACTCTTGTGTAAGTGGCAAACCTGATTTGGTGACCCTTTGAAATAACCAAGAGGTTTGCGCATAAAAACTTCTTCTTCCAAGTCGCCGTGTAGGGAGGCATTTTGAACATCAAATTGCCTAAGAAACTAGCCTTTGATAGAGGCAGTTGCTAACAAAGTCCGAACAGTAACAAGTTTTGCAACTGGGGCAAAGGTTTCGTTGTAGTCAAGTCCCTCTTGCTGTGTAAATCCTTTGGTGACAAGTCATGCTTTGTAGTGCTCAATGCTCCCATCAGAATTATGCTTGACTTTAAAAATCCATTTGGAGCCAATGGTATGCTTACCAGGTGGTTAATCAACAAGTGACCAAGTGTTATTGAGTTCAAGGGCAGAGATTTCAGAATTCATAGCCT